CCAAAGCTGAGGTAATTTATTTAATATTTTATTTTGCATATTATCTTTATTCTGTTTGTATTTTAAGTAGGCAGCAGCTTCTTTTCAAATTTTTAATATGCTATCAAAAAGCTGCTCTAGTTAAATTCTATATCCAAATTGTATTACTAATAGTTTCACTTAATATTTATATTGGCAAAATATTTCGTTTTTCCTTTAAGCATCTCTACAAAAGTTTTAATAGCTTTCGCACTCTTCAAATTTGCATAAATAGTAAACAACTTTTCTTAAAGTCTTGAAGCGTAACATTTGAAGTTATGCAAATGTTTACTAAAAGCCATAAATATAAAATTATTTAAATAATTTAAGTAAACATGCATTCATTCATTTTTTGTTACGTGCTCTTGTACCAATTGTGCTCGAAGCATTCAATCAATTTAGGCATAATTAAATTGAACTCAAAGCACAGCAAAAAAAGTGAATCCCGATTTGGGTTGCTCTGACGTCGCACGGTTTATTTTCGATTACCTCAAGCATCTTGTGGCCTGTTTGGCTGCTTTTTTTCGCCCCATCCATTTGCAGTTAGTTGCCTGCTTTTGGCAACTTAACGAATTCACTTTGACTTTGCATATGGAAGCTAGGCTTCGGCCTGCCATTGGCAGGTAGCTATATATATACCTGTTACCTATGACTGACTGTGCGTGAGTGTGTGCGAGTGTGTGTGTACGTGCCAGTTCGGTTGGGGTCTGTTTGAGGGTAACTTGTTCGTTCGCTTGGTTTCATTTTTATTTCTTTTCTCTATTTTTTCTGTCGTTTTCTACATTGTTCATGACGTTTCACATGCAAAACGCGTGTCACATTCGCATTTCCGCCCTGTCATGCTAGTTTAGTAGGGTCCCAACACAAAAATACAGCTCCTACGCACACATGTGGCAACACTTACCCTCAACACACACACACACGCACACTCGCACGCACACACACCGTGGCAGCGCTTTTTGGCTTTGCCGTCCTTTGGTTACTTTGACGCTCTCTGGATAAGTGGGCATGCGTGTGTGTGGGTGTAGTTGGGCTCCTTTTGGAATGTGTAACTTGTTAAAAATCCATTAATCACGTAAGTGGCAACTCTGGCAACGACAAAGCCAGCATACAAATGCGTTCATGCGTGCAAAAACTCAGCCAGCAAAAAGCCGACAAGCTCTGACTGCTTCAGCTGTTGTCCTGCCCTTTCCATCTACCAAACTTGCTCTTTTTACAACACTAATTTGTATGCGCGTGTGTGTGTGTGGCTGTGTGTGTGTGTGCGTTTGGCGCTCACTTAATTTTTGTGCCTTGCTTGCGTTTCTGTACTGTTTGCATTTTGCTAGCTCATTATGCTCCCAGGCTCAACCTTTAGCTGTTGCATTACTCATAATATTTGCCCCTCTCTCTCACGCCCCCTCCCCTCTCCCTCTTCCGATCTCTTATGCTGTTTTGCACGTTTCCGGCGAAAAAAGCTAGCCGGAAATTATGCATGTAATTAAATTTACAAAAAAAAATCATGAATGTTTTGGTCGGGCGCCGTAAATTGTCTTTGCTTGAATCAGTTTTTTCCCTCTCACAGAATTGCAAATAAAAGTAATTAATTGAAAAAAATGTGTATAATGACAGTTTAGCATAAAACACACATATTAGAGAGCATGGCAAAAATCTAAATTGTATATATATATATATATATATATATATATATATTATATATATATATTGTAAATATACCAATGTTCATAAAAATAGTAGTGCAATTGAGCACTAAATATTGGGACACAAAATTTAATTTTTTTTTTTTGTTTTTTTTTAATGACAAACACAGTATATTGGCAGCAATTTAAAACGAATATAAAGATTAACATATTTTGTTCTTAAGTTATTAACTTTTATATTCTTAGAAGAAAGTTTCAAATGAACTGTATAACCAAACTCTTGATGCGAACAAACCCAGTTGAAACCCAGCATAAAACCACTATGAAAGCAAGCCTTTTAGATAAGTTCTAAATTCATTTACTATTCCTTAATTTACGAGAAGCTTTTCATACTGCAAGTCTTAGTCTACTTAGCAATGCAATTTTGATTTACATGCCATAATAAGCCAAAATGCTTTACTTTTAACCAACGCTTTTAGCTGCCCAATCAATAACGAAGCAAATAAGTTGCTTTAATTGTGTCAAACTCTTTGCTCTTAATAATAATCTAATATCCTTGGCAAAATATTGCACTAAGAGTTTCGACCACAAGCTGTGGCCATATGCAGCTCGGTTGTTGTAATTCCGTTTGGGCCAAGTTCACATAAAATATTTAATGAAACGATGGCACAAACCGCACTAATTGCAAAAACCAAACATTTTCCCACAGCGCCTTTGGAAATTCATTTTTTGGTAGTTTCCAAATATGCTGCGTGTGTATGAGTGTATGTGTGTGTGTGTGTGTATGTGGTTTGTAAAAGCCGCAACAAACACAAACCCACAGGGACACAGGAAATCAGAGCGAGACAAAGAGTGGCGAGTGGAGCGTGTGCAAAAGAGAGATAAAGTTGGAGCAAGTGCGATGGCGTTAGCAGAATTGTTAATATTAAATTACCAAAAACTATTTGCAATTTTTGAAAGTTTTGCACTGTCTGGGCAGGCCGGGCGGGCCAGTGCGGTTGGCAGCGGGCGCACTGCAGAGGGTGTCGACGTCTTGTCTTACAAGTTGCACGCATTCCTTTCGGCACAAATTCCTTGGCTCCTTTTACCATAACACACACACACACACGCACACACTGCTACACACAAGTTTATTATGTCTGGCGGTGCTGGCCAGGCGAGCGCCAGAAAGTATGCAACATTTTAATATGTGTGTCAGCTGGCGCCCGTTTGCATTTGGCAGAGCGGCGGCGCCCTCTGCCATTGTCTCTGAGACGCACATCTAATAAACCTGGCAGAGCAACATTCGCAGTAAGCATCTCTGCGGTTTTTGCCACAGCTTCAGAATTTACTGTGTACCGACTGCATGCCCCGCACAACGCTTCTATCTGGCTGCTTGCGGCAAACCCTTTACGCTTACCACTTGAGCAGCAGCTTCCCACGCTTTGGCCCAGCTCTGTCAACCCGTTTAGATCTGCGTGGCACCTGCTGCAAAGTTTTACGTTTTGGTTTTCTTTTTTGTTTTTCCTGGTTTTTCCTGCCCTGCAAAATCAAAGTTAGCACGCACGTTAGCTGCTGCCAGTGACTATGTCTCAGGTCCAACCGATGCCACTTTTACTTGCCGAGCTACTTCAACTCCAGCAGCCAGTCAGCCAAAGTCTGCTGAAGTCTGCCGGCGTCTGCCAGTCTGTCTTTTGTGCCCTTGCGAACTTTTCATATACTCAGTATTTTCTACTTAAATTAAATACAATGTGTGCGAAAAGTAAATTGAAGTTTGCTTTATGTGGATTTTGCACTCTGCGCTGCATTTACGGAGTTTCATTTAAAACATGTTAAACAAATGCTGAGAACGGGGCTTACATCAGCCCACAACGAAAAAGTTGACATTACAGGCATTGGGCAGAAAGTCTGCGAAAAAGGGGGCACAACTTTCTGGGGGTAACTTGTTAAAGGCTTCAACTTTGAACTTTCAACTGTTGCCTGTCAAATCTTGGCTGCCTGCCGCTCGGTGTGAGTAGAAACTTGCCAGTGTTGCCCCTGGCAGCGAGACTCTCTAGGTAAGAGCTAGAACACACATTATAGAAAAGTTTAAATTGTTAAAGTAATTGATTCTGAATACCACATACATAAGCACATAATAGAGTGAATACTTGTATGTATCTAGCACACATAACAGCTTAACGCGTGATGTAACCAAAATGCCTTGTCTAAAGATCATTAGCATAATGCTTGAAAGCATGCTGATCTATTTGAAAATAGGTTGAGTTAGGCTGAGATGAATGTGCTTAAGAAAATCTATAGGATGTTTGAGGAAGTTTTCTTTGGGTTGGTATAGCATATAGATTAGCACTGCCTCGACAATGCGCTGGGTAAAGCAGCTTTACGAATTTATTCTTTGAGTTCTTATTAAGAAATATTATATTTATATAGACAATCAGTCTTGCAGCAGCTGTTAAAACATGTTTAGAATTAAAATTATATTTTCTTAAAAAAATACGAAATTACGTATACGTAATATGAACACATTAGCTAATGACTACGTTACTATATGCAACAATAAGTACAAAAAATATTATAAATAAGGCACCTACACATCAGCTATCATATAATAAGTTACTGTCACAGCAGAAATCATATTTGTGACTACATCAAATGAGTTTTAATTACGTATACGTAACATAATAAAGATATAGTATAATATACCCAATACACACACATATATATATCTACAATCTGCGACCTTTAGGTCAGGTAGTCTACAATAAGTAAGCCAACCTGCTAAAGTTTTATTTTACAATTTATTCTTCACAACTTCTTGGCTCAACTTTTCGATTCAGATATTTATAGCTCGCTTAATTTGCCACGGATTATTAATCAATTCTCATTTGTGCTTCGGCGCTTGTAATACTACAGGTAAGTGCTCACATTCACACTCCGACTACGGCAATGCAATTATGAAACTTTAATCATCCGCTAAACCAATTTTCAAAAGCAACAAAACTCATAAAGTGCACAACACTGAACGCATCACCGTTTGACTCCTACTCGCTGTGCGCCTTTCGAATGGAAAATGGGGCAAAGGAAAAAGAAACTTTCCTTTGCGCCACACCCCGAAAGCAACAACAATAGTGAAAACACAACACAAAGCAGAATTAAAAGTGAAAAAGTAGGCGGCCAGTTGCAAAGGCCTCTCGAGGCAGCCCGGGCGCAGCCATTGCGATTGGGGTTGAGTGGACTGAAGGGCCGCACCCTGGACAATCCCTCGTTTCCCCTTAGGATTGCTGCTTGTTTGTGCCACTGCAACAGCAGCGCGTCTTGGATTTCCAGCTGGCGTGAATAAGGTAAATACGTTGAGAAACTCACCTGGCACCGATGAGCAGGCTATTGCCATCCTTGGTGACGAGCTTGAAGTGATCCACAACGCTCTCGTTGCCCAGAAATTTCAGTATATCTTCGGGACCTGTAAAATAGTTGACAAAAGGGAAAAATATTAATATTTGCACTTGGCTTAAGTTGGTCAAAGCACGAGACGAAGACGGAGCTGGAGCTGGTGAAATGGACGTGCGGGCGCTAGTTGGTCTGACTGCAAATGCCTAATTAGGCAATTAGGCGTCGTTAAAGGCGACAAAAAGGCGGCTAAGGGTTGGCCAAGGCTAAAACTAAAGCGAAATGCTAAAGAGCTGAAAATGGTGGCGTACGACAAAACAATGCAGCCGCCAAGCTGCGAAGCAAGGGCGCGGGTCTATAGTAGTAGTAGTAGTAGTAGTTCGCCTGTTCTTTGGCTGATATGCAAATGGCGCCCGAGCAGGGACCCGGAGTTAAAAAGGCAGCCAATGCGGGCACAAAGGATTGCCCGTTTAGCAGCAAAAACAGGACAACAGCAGCAGCAGCAGCAGCAGCAGCAGCAAAGTTTTTTGTCATTTGTTTACTTTAGCTGTTCGCATTTAGTTTTTCTTGCTGCGCCGTCTGGGAAAGCGAGCAGCAACCACTGATAGTTGTCAGCTGCCACAAACTGAGCTACTACTGCCTGATAAACTAGCAAAGAGCCATCAAGTACTTAAATCTCCCAGGGACTGGTACTCGGTAATTACATGGCGAGGTGTAATGTTATGGCTCTGCTGCTCGGTTGCTGTTGCACTTGCTAATGGCAATGCGACTGAGCCAAACTTAACGGCAAAGGTGTCACTGCAATATCTTCCGAACTGAACTTTAATTCTCAGCTGTCACACAAATCTCTCGAGCTGTGCTTTGAGTAAATAAACAATTCAAAGAATGTAAAGTGCTTAGCTGGCTTAGTAAACTTAAGGCAGAATATAGAGTGGATAGCGAAATGTGATTGTTCAAAAACCTTTCTAATATGAAATAAATGTAGGAGAATAAGATTAAAGCGCCTGGGAAGAATGGCTCAAAGTGGGCTGTTTGCATTATCTTAAAGGGTTTTTGCTATAGCAGGAATATTTATATTTCCTATGAAAGCGGGCATTTGCCGCTAAAAAAACCTTGCATAAAACATTTTAAATGAAGTTTAATTAAGCTTCTCTTTGTCTCCGACAAACCCAGAGAATTTCTTTCATTCGCTATCTGCTCATTACGAAGCAACTCCTTGGCAGCTCCCTTTGGCCAACACTTGCCTTAAATTCTTTTACACTCGATAAACATGACTCCATTTCAGCTTGAATATATATTCCCATAATAGCCACGCGCTCGCCCTCGCTGCAATCATTACGGATAACGTAACACGCCTTTTGTCAGTCGCTTCGTTTGATCAATGATGTCAGGGTGAACTTTTTGCAGCTCAGCTTTTAACTTTGACTGCAAGCGGTCAACCACAAAGAGCGAAAAAGTTTTTAGCGGCTTTTTTTCGTCCTTTTTTTTAGCTCTGCTTGGACATGGCCAACCGGCTGCAACCTGGTTATTGAAAGCGCATTTGGATGCGCGTTTCACACGTTTCACTTTAGTAGACGCTACCCGAAAGACTACAAAAAAAAACACAGCCAAAATTAATGGGCGTAAAAAAAGCTTTTATGCACGAGCTTTTCATATGGGACAGGCCTTTTGTTTGCTTGACATTTAACGTGACACGTGGGACATGTGCGCATCTGACTGCACGATTAGGGGCAGAGCCCCCAGTTTTTCGAGGGTTGGCGCGTAACTACGAGAAAAGTTTCGGCGCACTCACGCCTCAGCATATGCGACATTTTTAATTTGGCGCTTTAATTAAAAGCAACAAAGCTTTGTAACAAAAAACGACGCAGCGAGTGAAAGGGTTTGCAGAGTTTCCAAAAAAGAATAATAAGTAAAACATGAAGAAATATAACAACAAATTCACGACAGCTGCAATGGTAATGAAATATGCAGAGCTGCCAACAAAGATGAGCAGTCAGAGCAAAGAATATTCAACAAATTTGTAACGCGAGTGAATGGAAGACAGAGGGAAAGAGAGAGGGAGAGAGAGAAGGAGAGAGCAGTCAAATTATGCATATTAGGTAAAGAGAAGAGAAGACGGCTGGAAAACTTAAAAACAATCAATTGTTATTTACATATTCAGCTCAAGTTGAACAAGCCTTAAAATGAAGTCATATTCTCTCAAATGCAGCTGCCTCAGTAAGACTCGGGCTTAACAAGTTTGTTTCTAGACACAATCAATATATTATTACTATTCCTTCACAACTATTAAATCTTTTATCCTTTACGAACTTTCCAAAGTTTCTTATTGCAATCCCTGAAGCGTTCCATTTGCTTTGCATATAGAGTCGACATCGCACATAAGTTATGTTTAATGCTACCGCGGGCCTTTTCGTCGACCCTGCTAACTATGTAAGCCCTCAAATTGTAAGCTAATATTTGTTTTACCTACATACACAACACGGCACACCCACACACACACACACACACATTTCGGCCAGCAAACAGCCAAAAATCTAATATTTACCTTGACTTTCAAAATGTATGCAACGCCAAAGTAAACTGCAACTCAACACGTACCCAAACCCCGAGCCCAGTGCCTGTGGCCCCAGTTCACAGCCTCGCATAGCTCCCTCGACCCTCACTGCCAGCTGTATTTGAACAAAGACGCAGCAGACCGAACCGAATCCGCCAGACGATTCAGCAAGCAGTGAAGCGAACGCCAACAAAAAAAATCATTTATATATATATATAAAAATATAGTAAACGAAGGCAAGAGCCTCGACGGAGTCTATCACTTTAATCAACTGACTGACAGTCGGTCGGGCCTGCCGCTCCAAATTATGCAAATTCAACGAAAATAAACGTGAATTCCGACATTCGAAATCTACAAATGCCGGACAGCCCAGCTCTACGACCCACTCTCACTCAGTGTGTGTGTGTTGAGGATTTCACATTGCGGTAACAATGGCGACAACGTGTCCATGTTTGACTTTGTCATGCCACTGGGAACCGAGAGCCGAAACGTGACAACGCAAAGATCGCCAGCCTTAGGATGTGATGCAAGAAAGATTCGAGCCGAGCAGTGAATGGGTTTGGCCTTTCAAATTAATGAAGGCCACAGAGCATCGGCTACTCTTAAGGAAAATTACAGAGCGCTACATAAGCTGATTATTAAATATTTCGGAATGAATTTTTCATTTTGCTGCTTGGCGTGTATTTTTCACCCAGCCGACGCACACTCTGGCAACCGCAACATTTACAAGCGGAAAAGGAAATATTTACTCAACTACAGACCAGTGTCCATGGCGTACTGGCTCTACAGTTAGTATCATAAATATGCGCATTCAGAGGGCGGTCAGGAACAGGCGTCGTCTCGGCCACACCTTGATGAGAGCGAGCGAGTTGACCAAGTCGTGGAAGTTGGCGAACGAAACCAGCAAAAAGACAGTGGGGTATTAAAAATGCAAATACTTTATAAGTGCAGGCAAAATGTTGCACTCCAGCTAGTTGGAGCTGGACAAAAAAACAAACAAAAAAAGAAGCAGCATAAGACAACAGCAACAAAATACTAAATAATGAAAGTTACCTTAATGGACGTAACTGGAACTTGCAAGTAAACTACAAAAAGTTAACAGAGAAGTTAAGTAGATAAGTTAGAGAGGGCTGCCAGAGCCAACTAATTGAATGGTTCCATTTAGAAGTCAAGGCAAATGCTACGCTGCCATTAACGAACTGTTGTGAGTGTTAAAAAATTGATACTATTAAAAATATTTATTATATACGGCGAGCATTGATAACAGTTGCGTATGCAATAAATAAACTATAAATTATTTGGTGAAATTATACGCGCAGCAACTGTGAGCGATGCCATGGTAAGTATTCATTTATTATAAGCGGCTTTCGCAATGCGATATGGCTCGTTTTTGGCTGCTGGCCATGAGAAATCAACGGCATACACAATGGCGGCGGCGTCACATAAAAATTATATAGTCGCAGCGAGGAAAAACGGAGGCTGGGCCGAGGGACGGCCTCGGCCGGAAAACAAAATGCGGCGATGCGTGAAAAACATTCCACGATTTCTGCAACGCGCCATCCACCGACCAGACCAGACCAACTTCCTGTTCATGTTCCGTGGCTGCTGTTGCCGCTGCTGCTGTCGACTCTATCCCTTGGCCAGGCGGCGTTCAATGGGAAAAATCCCAGCCGAGATTTGCATTTAATTGAAATGAACGCCGACACACACACACGCACGCACAAAAGACCAGAAAGAAATGCAGAGCACAAGCCAAACATCAGAAACAAAATGAAAAAATGGAATACAAACTAAAAAAAAAAAAAAAAAGACGATCCCAAATGCAAAAGAGAATCATTTAGACATAGAGCCGCCAGTAAACGAAATGAAATCAGAAATCGACGCCGACGCTGATGTTGGGGCACAGTGTCTTATCTCTGAAGCAACATAGGCCACAGGCTTATCGTTAGCTCATGCAGCTACCCAGCTTAGCCAACCTGGTCGACGCCTCTGTTCGGTTTGTTTGATTTGGTTTTGCTTTGGCTTTTAGCTTTGCCATTTTTTCGTTGTGTATTGTTTCCTTTTCCAATTGATGTGCCAATCTTCGTCCCAGTCACAGTGGTTGGCGGCGTCCAAGGAGCTCGCAATTCTTTTCCTGATGCTGTTTGCATCTTGATAGCACAGCTTCCATGCTTTTGGGCTATTGGCTTTGGCCTAAACTATAACCGAATCCAATGGAACACCTGGAGGACGTTGGCAACCGGTAATTGCGGTGCTTCAAGTGCCTTTCGAGACAGCATACAAGATGTCCATGCATAATGAACAGGTATTTGCCCAGCTAATTGGAATGAGGAAGCCTTTCATAGGAAACATATGGAACTACATAATAAACAAAATGTATTATATATATATATATATATATATTAAATATGATAAGAAAATAAAGCAGCTCTTATAGAGATTAAAGCAAATTATAGCTCATATTTCAGATATTGAAAGGCTTCATTTATTATTGGATTATGAGAATTTACTATTGTTGA